TATTTATCTAAAAAGTGTCCCGATTTGGGTACAGTGACGTTAGATGTCTATATGATATAAAACAAAACAAAACATCATTTAGGATATAGCTCACCTGGTCTTGGGTTGTCAATATTGTCAGGCTTACTCAGTTTACTTTTTACTTTATAACAAGCACACTGAGTCTACACAGAAAAAAAATTACACTGGATTTTTTTTCAGCACAGGATGACTGTTTTTTAAGTTGTTTTTCTCCTTTTTTTTCACAATGAAGCACCTAAAGACAAAATGTATGCAGACCTGAGAATTTTTCTTTAGTTTTGCTAATGGTTGACTTGGCTTATCTAGATTGTTTCATAAAACAGAAAAGTGTTGGCTGTTATTGCTATGGCTATATCTGATATTGTATCCATGGTAACCGTTTATCTTTTCTCGTAGGTCCAAGTGGAAGCCACAGACAATGGAGTGCCCATAGCTAGGACAGCCAGATCAACTGTGACCGTTACTGTTCCCAGAGATACCGCTAACCCATTCTTCACCAATCTTCCCAATACTATCACTATCCAGGAGAATGCCGTCTCTGGATCAACTGTGTTTGATGTGATAGCTACTGACGGTGACAAACGAGTAAGCATTTACTTTTTTTTCATATATTTTTTTGTGATTTATTTGAAATAGGAGCTGGTAAGGTAGGAGGCACTAGATCTATCAGTGCTTTTCCTCTTAGCATGTTCTATATCCAGCTCGGCTATAGAATTTACTGACTTTTGTCTTTTCATTTACAAGGGCAATATGACATACAAGCTGATAGGACAATTCCCAGCCCAAACATTCTTCAAGATGGACCCTCTCACTGGTCAAATTACCATCCTCAATGTACCGAAGTCTGACTCACTGGAGACCATGGTGTACACGGTAGGCAGGAAACATCCTCGTGTCATATAAGAAAATTGTGTGGGAGTGATATTTTCATGTCTGGGTTAATTTTCACATTTTTGATTTATTCAAGTTGCAAATATGTTGGAAATGTTCACATTGACAATGCTGTTACAATAGAACTGTTGACAAGTTTACATCGACAATGATATAGGTATTTTGAAACGTGTCTATAAGTTTGCGTTCATAAATTAGCACTGATTAATTGCACAAACAAAAAGATTGGCATATATTTTTATTTTTACATCACAACATGGCAACAATTTCATTTGCATTCTTTTTCAGCTGAGAGTGGAAGTGTACGACAGCTACTGGCCGAGCAATAAAGTATACGATGAATTAAAGGTGCAAATTACCCGTAATCCTTCAGGACCTACCTTCAACCCCAAATCCTACATTGATACAGTGCGGGCAAACATTGATTTGGGAACAGTTGTGTTCCAGCTGTTGGCCACAGATATTGACGGGGTAAGTTGACTGGTGATGCCTTGATCATTTCTGTAATGTCCAGCAGGATGCTACTGGTACTTTTTATGTTACCAAATAGGGTTAATGGGGACGTCAAGAACAGTTGATTGAGAAATGTAGAATTTATCTAAAACAATCAATCATTCACTCTTGCGTGTTATCTCACATTTTCAAATTGTTGACGCACGTTCTTCAAACACATTCATATAGTCAGATATGTGTAGTCTCAGCATCATGTCATACCATCAAATTAATGTTACTCTTTTTATTGTGTTTCTTTGAAATATGCTGTTACCGGTATGTTATTTAATTCTGTCAATTACATCACACTGTGATTTTTATGGAATACTTCTTTGAAAGGGGTTTAATAAAATGTTTTAGAAAAGTGATAATGGTAATGCTATACTTGTTGGTACCATTTACATCAAATCTCCCTGTTAACACATGTCGTTGTACACTATTCTCTTACAGGACCGATTAACATACACCTCTGATATGAGCGCACTTGATCAGGAGTACTTCTCTTTGAGTCGAGACAGTGGAGCCATCATTCTCTACAAGTCCCTCGAGACGGTCGGCACACCCAACAGGTTTGATGTAAGTATGGCAGACCATTCTTATGCCAAAGTTATTTAGACTTTAATAATTGTTAGAGATAAACACATGCTAGGTACTGTACAATTTTGACTTAATAGACTGATTAGGTAGACTGCTCTGAGATTAAATTTAAGAGAATGTCGTGAGACTTAAGTTAATACAATGCCATGAGACTAAAGTGAATATCCTGCCATGACACAAAATTCCAATTATATGTAGCGTGAAGTGACTGTCTGCTGATCTTCTACATTTTAACTAGTGCCAGATAGTTTTCTTTAACCCGTATACTTCAAATCTTCAACAGACATATCTCGCTAGTTCTTTCTTTGTTATAATATCTACAATAAAACATACACAGCAAATTAGCTTTTACATAAGATTGGCAACTTTTGATGTGTCATACCTATTTGTTTTCAGTTCAATGTGTTCGTGTCCGACTCCCGAAATCCGGTCAAGAATGACACAGCCTCTGTGTCCCTTTCGGTGACCGCATTACAAGGACCACCCAGGTTCACACAAAACAACTATGAAGTGACCATCCCGATTTCACAGGCTATTAACACCTCTGCCACCTCTGTACTTGCTACAGACCCTGACATTCAGGTAACATTTCATTTACAGATCTAAACCATAAGTTCAGCTCACTCTCAAAAATTCTTAATCCTAAAAGGACATTTTGTCTATAAGTGGAATCTTGAGCAACACATATATATGATCACTGCTATGTGAAGACCAAGGTCTAACAATAATCATTGCTATGTGAAGACCAAGGTCTTACATATGATCACTGCTA